GATCAGTTCGCGCTGCCGCGCACATCCGCTACCGCGCTTGGTTTCCTCCTCCTCTTCAGCCGTCGCTTCGTTGTCTTCTCCTCCCCTCCTGCATCGTGGCACAATGCGCTTAACGGCAACCACATTTTGCTTCCGCGCCAGCGCAGTGGCTCTGCCTAACCGCCGACGCAAAAAGTGTGTGTGTGTGATTGTGTGTGTGTGTGTGTGTGTGTGTGTGTGTGTGTGTGTGTGGGGGTGTCTCGTTGCTCTCCCCGCCGCAGCAGGCAGCTCTGAGTGGCCGGGCTTCCTCTCTTCCTGTTGCCTTGGGGCTCCTTGTCCTCCTTCCATGCGTCGCTGCCCTAATTTGCATACGCCGTGTCCCCTGCTGCCAATCCGACGGAGCAGTCGGCCTCTGCCCAGACGCCGCCGCAAAATGTGTATGTGTGTGTGTGTGTGTGCGTGCGCGCGTGTGTGTGTGTGTGTGTGTGTGTGTGTGTGTGTGTGTGTGTGTGTGTGTGTGCGGGTAGGTGTGTGTGTGTGTGTGTGTTGCTTCGCCGTATCACCGCGCGCGAAGCTACGACTGCCAAGCGTGTCGGTGTGTGTGTGTGTGTCCGTATGTGTGTATGTGTGTCCGTATGGTGAACAAGGCCAAGACTTTGGCCAGATTGCCGCATGCTGTCCCCTGCCGCCCGTGCCCGCCAAATGACAAAGATGGAAAAATCATCTTCAAGGGTCGCGAGGCCCCGGGCGTCAGGTGGGCATACATCGACGACAACAACGGTGGAGGGCCGTGGTGTTGGCTCTGTGACGAGTGCGGCAAAACGGTCAGCACTTCACGTCAAACGAGCACATGAGACAGCGGAAGCAGACGCAGATCGACAAGCACATGGACTGTTACAAACCCCACGGACTACCAGATTTCCAAAGCTTCATAATGGGAGGCGACCTGTGGAACATGACGAGGGGCATGGACACATCGGAGGTCAAGAGGACACCATACCCAGGCTGGTGCTGGGATTGGGAGCGTGACGCAAAGAATTCCCCCATCGACCCATGCGTCTACGGGGACGACAGGGGCGCGATACCGATTGGATTTCCTACGCAGTACGACGGGCCAGGGTATTCACCCCCGCTCGGGATGGTGATCAGCAGTGACAATGTACAGCAGCCCTGGGCCAAGAATAATCGCCCACAGCAAACACAGGAACAACTACTCCACAGCGCCGGACAGGCACTGGCCAGCTCCTTGGCCATGAGGGGTACGCCCAACCCGACCTCAGGACAACTCGGCAACGCACCGCCCGCCCCGTTTAGCCACCCACCGCTGGCTCAGCCTGTATTCCCTGGACCCCCAGCATGGGCACTCACCGACCCCTGGCCACCCTGACCAGCGCGGAGGACGCACCAGCGACGCCTCAGCACCCTACGCGACCGGACTACGGCCCCTGCGTCCCCTGGAGCACCCGCCATCGAAGGACGCCACATACAGCTCGCCAGGAACGCCGAGGAGCTCTACAGCACTCCCTGGTGCATGGTCCCATACGGATCGGCAGCGCGGCCCTGCCTTGGACCGGTCCCTGGGGCTGTCCCACTACCCCGCGACTGGACTCGGCGTGTGCAGCTTCGCGGGCAAGAGCTAAGGAGAGTCTTCTTCACCGAATTCTTTGCGGACGTGGGGCCGCCTGACGACGGCGCCGCCCTGGCTCGGCAGGCCATCGCCAGTAAGACTACCTGCGCCCTAGACGTGCGGATCCCCACCTGTTCCCAGCCCGACGAGCAGTGCCAGGATATCTTGGATAGGTACCACCTACAGGACAGGCTCAAAGGGCAACAACTGGGACTCAGCAAGTACTACCTAATGGTTTGGGATGCCGAGTGGGCCATGGAGTGGACGGAGCGCGACAGGGCAGCAGGCACCCCGAACTCCAAGTCCTCGCCAACAGTGGATTTCCTCGCAGAAATGACGCGTGTCTGGCCCCCAGCCCCCGGCGCCAGGGTCTCAGGCGCTGACCGGAACTGCCCTGCTGGAATCGCGCTGGCCCGCTGCGACGCCAAGAGGAACGGCCCCTTCCACGACAACGACGACGCAGTCACAAGGCCCCGCCCAGGTCAGGCATACTACAGGGTCGATCGCACCGCGAGGAAGACCCAGTTTAACAAGGTCAACGCGGCGATGCGGGAGTTCTTTTCAATCGGGTGCGAAAAGGCGGTTCTCTGGGGCACCGCCCTCCCGCCCGCCGCATGGGCGCTTGTCTTCCGACCCGTGGGCTACGACAGCAAGGCCAGAGCCCTTGCCGTGCCAGCCCAGGGGGGAGCGGCAGACCTTCTGCTGGCGCAGGCCTCGGTGACCGTGGGGCGCATCGTCGGCGACCCCGACCAACCCCGTGCCAACCCGCGTGCCGGCGGACCTGCACTGGCGCCGCAACTGGCGGAGGAGCCCCCAGGCAGCGTTTTCCAGCGACATTTGCCAGCCCCTAGGGAGGGGCAACTTGCGCGCATCTGTGACCTGCGCCGCGCCAGCGACGCGCGGCGAGGCTGCGTGCTAGCGACGCAGAACGCCCTGCTCACTCTCTGCCGCGGACCTCCCAGGACTGGGCAGACCAAAGTCGCAGCATGCGTGGCGGGCGCATGCATGTCCTGTCTCCCCCCTGGGTGGGGGGTGGGGTGCTTTGGCGGCACCGGCGGGCCCGCGGGCAACCTGGCAGGGCAGATCGGGGAGAACCTGAGCCCAGACAACAAGGACCTGTTCCCGCGCTTGGCAGCGCGCCCTGCGCGCGAGGACAAGGTTGAGGGCAGCGTGGCCGAATCGATCGCCCCTGCGGCAAAGTACGCCAAGATGTAGGGCGTATCTGAGGACGACGTCACCGCGTGGCACGCGAACTGGTTCCGCAAGTTTCGCGCGGAAGTCGCTGCCGAGGCGAGACTTATCTTGGCCGCGCGCGAAGCGGGGGCCGACCTCCGTGAGAAGAAGCTCTTCGTATGTATCCTCGACGAGGCAGGACAAACGTCCGAGCCCATGGCAATCATGTCCCTGAATCGCGCCGTCAGGTGCGGAGCCAGGATGGTTCTCTTCGGCGACGAGCGGCAGCTGTGCCCAGCGGTCAAATCCCAGCAGGCACTCCAGTGGGGGCTAGGTGTCTCCATCCTCGCCAAGTACGTAGCAGCCATAGGGGGCATCCCCGAGTGCAACGTCACGTTGGAGAACTGCTATCGGATCCATCCATCCCTGCTCGCGTGGCCATCGCTCGCGTTCTACGGGGGCCGACTGGTCTCCGCCGTCCTGGACCCCTTGCAGCAGCGGCCATGCGCCGAAGGAGTGGAGTGGCCACTCGCGCGACCCCTGTCCGACCAGGAGTACGAAACAGCGAAGAGTGAGGGCGCCGGCTACGAGCCGGAGGACTCCCTGATCGACACCGCAGGCGGATTCAGGAGTAAGGCAGTTTGCGTGGCCCCGAAAGGGAGCAGCGTCTCCGGCCACGACCGGCATCGTCTCATGCTCGCCCGCGTCCCCTCGCAAGAGGTGCAGTCCAGGTTCCAGGGCGGCTACGCGAATATCCACGAAGCGCGCTCGGTGGTGGCGCTGGTGAGCGCCCTCGAACCGTGGTTAGGACGGACCAAGAGCACCATCCTCATCCTGTCGCCCTACGAGCTCCAGCTGGCCCCCGTGCTGGCTGGCAACCCGTGCTCACTCCACGACAGCAGACGTTGCTCGCGGGCGGCGCAGGGGGGCGGCACCGACAGTGCCAATGGCCCCAGCTCCCTGCGACAACAAGGACGGGGCAGCTACGCCTTCTCGCGCCACCAGAGGGCCTACGGGAGGAGTGTAGATCAACCACGCCGCGCCGGCAAACGGCCTGAGTGGGCGCTTCAGCGGGATCGCAGAGCTTTCCCGGGCACCTGGAGAGAAAGGCGATCCGGGTCACCGCCATCGACGCCGCGCAGGGGCAAGAAGCCTCCCTCGTCATCCTCATGACCACTCGGGCCAACTCCATGCTAAACTGGGGCCACGTCGACGGCCTGCACCGCGTCGACGTGGCTGACACGTCCGCAGTGCAACCTCATTATGGCGGCCGACGCAAGGATGTTCCGCACTGCCACAGACGCTGCACTCCATCACCTGGGCACATGGGCCCGGAGGGCGGACCTTGCCTTCGAATTCCACGTGCATCGAGATGGGAGCCTAAGTCAGACCAAGGCCGACCCCGAGGTTTTCATGGACGAAATACCCGAATCAACCAACCCTGATGAACAGGCCAGGCTCGTGGCGGAGGCTGAGCGCAGGCGGAAGGGGAGGGAAGTGATCAAGGCGCGACAGGCTCAGCAGGCCGGCCTCGCAGCACGCGTTGATCTACCACTCCCTGCCGACCGCAGCTGGAAGGGCCTGGAGGGCGACGTCAACGTGGATGCGATCAGGGTACTGGGCTGCGCGGCACTTGATCCGTGCTTGCTATGGTGCCTCGGGCTACGCCCGCGCCAGTGCGGCGTCGCGGACCAGCTTACTGATCCCAGCCTTCAGGACAGAAAGGGATGGAGCATGAACGGATGCCTCTTCTACTGCTCAGCGCTGGTAGGACTGGGCGCCGGCAACCTGGTCTACATCGCGGTCTTCGCGACCATCGCGCGGGCGATAGGACTCGGAGCCGCCGACAAAGACAGCGCGCGTGCACTCGACCCCAACCTGATCCCACCCCGAAGGAACCGACCGAACATGCCAGCAGCGTGGCGTATCAAGGAGACCTGTATCCCCACCGACGCCCCCAGGCGCAGACCCAAATGCTGGCACCCATCTACCTGCAAGTGCCAGAAGCACAAGGGGCCACCCACGACGGCCGTGTTCCACGCCTTCTGCAACATGAGTCCAACAGAAAGCTCAGCTGCTGTTGTCAACGGCCTCCGGGACAGCACAGGCGCGACCCTGGGCGACATCCAGGCCAGGATCCTCCTCGCCCTGTCCCTGCTTATACAACGCGAGCCACGTTCCTGTCTGTGCCCGTACGGGGGCGCCGAGGGCATCGGGGACG